GTTGCAATTCAGAGCGGGGTTTGTGGCCTCTGAAATTGCATTTGGCTCTGATGTTAAGAGGAAAGTTGTAAAATAGTGTTTGTTTTGTATAATCATTTTCCTAAATGCTCTGTTTTTTTGATACTAACCAATTTATAATTTTGGGTAGGGGACTGGGTTTTTGCCCAATCAGTACTCTGTTGTATAGATTAAATTATTGCATGATTATATAAATCTTTGGCCAGCAAGAAAAAAGTCATAAAAATGGTTCGGATTTTGTTTGGTATGTTTTGTTTAAATTAATCATTTTCATAAATACTCTGTTTCTCTTTAATTTTTATTTGACCAACTGAACTTATTATTTAAATAAATGGGTAGGGTTGTTGGTGAGTAGATGTGCCACTGACAAGACAGCAACCCAAGACTCAAAACTCTGAATCCAGGGAAAAAACCAAAATAACTACCCAGGTTGCAACCTCCTGAGTTGGAGAATTTTGAACCAATTGCAGACACCAACTTTGTACTAGAGAGGTATAACACAATGCAAGCATCACACAAATGCTGATATTCATCAATGATCAATGCCCATATGGTGACAGCCAAGCCTGATCTGAGAGGAAGATAGGGAAAAGTTTTGTCCAAAGCCTTCCAACTTGTTCAAGTCACTTTCACCTGTAGAATAAAATCCATGGTGCTGAATTGATGCTTTGCACAGCGCTTGCATGTTTGTGACAGGAAAATTTTATTAAATCTGACACCCGTGATCAACATCAGATTTATTATAAGGAACCATAATTGATAATCAGGAAAAATAATTTATTTTGTGAATCCCAGAGATCTGGGTTGACACATTATTAAAAGTTTCATTCATGCATGGCCTTGGTGTCATTACTACCTGGATGATGCAATTGTTTGTTATGTCAATTATAATATCAAACATATTGAATAATAAATCATGAATATTTGATGGATGGAGGCATTCACATACAAGGAAATGATTAAATAGCTAAGTCATGTTTGTTTTATTAAAGATATATAATTAGTTATATTTAAAATATACAATAAAAAAATTGCAAGACTTCATCACTATGTCAATCAAGGTATCAAGCTGTTATGTTTGTGCATGATTTAAAATTCTTTTGTGGTCCCATCTTTCTTTGCTTATATGTAATCTATTGGTTCTCTTTTTACTAGTCAAATTGGGTAATGGGGTATCAGCAAATATCAGAATCTGATTATTCTTTAAAAAAATAATCAAGGTATTAGCATACTGATAAGTTAATAATATTCTTAGTATTTTTATCATATATACAGTCTAACCTCGTCACAGTGGATCTATGGTACCAGCCAAAAAAATTCACTGTGACAAATTTGGTGATCTGCAAAAAAAAAATTTATTAACGAACGATAATATATAATAATAATAATAATACATTTTATTATAAATTAATAACAAATGATGATAAAAAATAATAACTTGCAAACATTTAGACAAATAATTTACCAATTGTTTGTTTATTAATTTATTTTAGAAACTTGGAAGATTTTGTTACTTGCAAACACTTAGACAAATAATTTACCAATTGTTTGTTTATTAATTTATTTTAGAAACTTGGGAAAGGTTGTTACTCGCAAATAATCTGTCAATTGTTTGTTTATTTGGGAACTTGTAAAATTTTGTTACTCGCAAATCTTTGGATAATCAATCAATTGTTTTTGGAATTGAATAATATCTAGTTTGTTTTATTGCTTTTGTTTATTTATTTTAGAAAAAAAAATTTTACATTTATTTTAATTTGGATAATTTATATGTCACGTGAATTCACTGTGATGAGATTAGTAGCAATATAGAAAGACCCCCACCAAAAATTCGTTAATGTTGTGGAACGAATTTATTAATAAAATTCATTATGACAAATATTTTTAATTAATAAAAAAAGGGGCCGATATTTAAATTCGTTGTGACAAGAAATTCGCTGTGACAAGGTTCGCTGTGGCGAGGTTTGACTGTACTAGCAAATATTGAACATGCCAATATTTATCAGATAGTCTTTTAAAATTAATCCTTTAGTTAATTATTGGCATAGTTCAATAAACTGATAACTCTTTTATATTGTAGTTAAGTTATTAGTTAAATATTTCTAAAGCTCTTTGTGCTAAAATAATTTCATATCTTGAGTAGCAGTTAGGGTTTTCTATTCAAATTTGAACAAAACAAATAATTCGAGTAATAATAAATCGAATAAATCGAATAAATCGAAACAGAAATAAAACGAAATAAAACGAATAAAAGCAAATAAAAGCAAATAAATACAAATAAAAACAAATAAAAACAAATAAAAACGAAATTTGGATTATGAATAGAAACCATGCATTAATATTTAAAATCAAAAAACAACAATAAATAAACAAACAAATAGCATTTATTGCGAAATAATCAATTTTGTTCTTTTGGTGTTAATGATTGAATTGATCACACAAGCAATAGTCAATTTAAACAGCATTATTTTTAAAGAATTTATTCAAAATATTTATTTTAATGTATAAATTTTAAATGCAAATTTTTTTGATACATCAATCTCAATCCATATTTATATACTTTAAAGTTTCTTTATTTCTTTTTTTGATAAATAATAAATTTATCCTTTGTTTATTTGTTTTAGTAGATTCAAATAGATCAAATGATACACTACAGCAAATTTCAGAGAAACAATAATGCAAAACACACATAATAAGTATATATAGCTTGTAGCCTAGGTCCTGTAGAATATGCATGCAAAATTTTTGTGTTTTCTGACTTTTGTTATGTCATTATTTATTTATTAAAAATTGAAATTCGATTATTTCAAAAAAGAAAAATTAAAATAATTTATAGGGCCTAGTACTAGGCCACAAACCGTATAGTCAACCCCATTATTTCCGTTTAAAATTAGTATTTAGTATTAGCGTTAGTGTTAGGTTTAACAAATTTGGGTTTAACGGGTGAATTTACTGTTTCTTTGGTTTAACAGGTTGACTACACAGTTGTGTATTTTATTATGTTAAAAAAACATTTTTTTTTCTAAATTAAAAAAATCTATTTTACTGTTTTTAGAAATAAACAATAATTCTATTTAAATTTATTTGTTTATCTGTTATAGTATTAGTATGATCAAATAAATTTTGGATTTCCAATTAGACATTTTAAAAAAATATAAGATCATCATTAATGATATTCTAATCTTTTCCCTTTTTAAATATATATACCAATAATTAATTCAATTAAAACTTTGGATATATTTGTAAAACTAAAGATAATATACATATATTATATAAGAAAGGTTCATAGTTTTTTGTGCAAACAATTTCCTTATTTGTATTTCTTTGGTCAAGATTGACAAGCATTTCATGATAAACTGGACAGATTTTTCATCCATTTTTAATGCTAAATTATTAAACAATCCTAGAAAAACATACAAAGTGAACATAAAATGGGACATGCTGCAACAAAACCAGACAAAGCGAACATTGGTATTACCAAGAATTTCAGGGATCAAATTTAGTCATTTGTAATGTGATTATAATTATCAATTTTATAATATCCCATTTTGTTATCTTAATATTAAGTGATATATAGAACTAACCCCCCTCCCATATAAAAATAATTGATATTGTGAGCAGTATTGTGAGCATGTAAATTCCAGCTACACAAACTCACGATGTGTCCAATAAAATATATAGATAGATAATCTAATATTCCAATAATGTATTTTCAATACAGCAGACCCAACTGACTTATGTATTTTCAATACTAAACTAAAACTAAATTAAAACTTCACGGGATTTCCTAAACAAATACAATACAAATACTCTAGGTGCCTGCCAGCTGTTCCCCTAGACCAAATTCCAAAGATATGTATATAATCCTGAATGCTTTCTAGGTGGGTGCCTTCTTAACCGTTTCCCCTGTCTTACCTAGTCATAATGATGGTGGCCGAAACTAATCCATAGTTTAGGCATTTAGGCAATTTTGGTTTAGGCCTAATTTTACCCTTGAGAATATTAAACATCCAGTCAGAATACAGTGTGTAATGAAAAAAATTGACCTCTAAATTTGTTTTCTAAGAAAGTAACCAAAATCCAAAGCCGCATAATAAAAATTATGTCAAAGAATTAAAAGATCATAAATTATTACATTAAAAATTTTGAAGCATATTATTATGTAGGCTTTAGAGCAATGATTAAAAAACTTTGCATTGAAATTTTTCTAGTTGAATTTCTTTTATTTTTAATTGACAAATTTCTAGAACATATAGTTTTATATAAATGATCTTCAGAACTTAAGCTACAAATTGATATATATTTTTTATATGATTATTATGTGTGTTTTTGTGTTAAAGCAATTGTTAAAAAGTTTCATGTTAAAATTTTGGAGACAAAAATTTAAAAAAATTTAAAAAAAAGAGACATGATTTGACCTTACAAAAAATTGGCAATAGTATTTTATATCGAGTTTTTTTTATTTAATAAAGTAATTGATTGACTTTTAAATGAATCTAATTTTGTTTAACTATCTCATGTATTTCTTGGGTAGTTTAATTTTTGTGAGGTCAATTTTTTTCATTACACACTGTACAGCATAGTGGAAGTTTGTTGTTACACGAATTGTTATACAGAACTCATTGCTCCTGAAACTTCACCAGTATATAGTTGTCTCCTCTCTAAATTGGAGATCAAGTTCAGATCCAATTCAAATCCAGTTTATCACTTACTTTTTTATTGCCAGAATATTTGCCGTGTATTGTAAAGCTACGTTGCACAATATAAAAATTAGTGTAACATTTCAAATTTCCACTATGCTACACTGTACATTTCACGATTTTATAGTGCATAAAGCAGTAAAAACTTGTATGAAAACGGGTTATCTTCCCATTAGAGGATTTAGCAATTCAAAAGGGAATAATTTGCCAACTGAGTACTGTTTTAATCGCATTCATAGAAATGTCAACTTCAAATTCAAACTGATGAAGAAACAGAAAGATTTAATTCAATATTCCACTATTGTCGAAACATTTTGGTAGTAAAACTAAGTTATAAAAAGCAGAAAATAATTTTAATCTTGTAGAAGCATATTATTTACTTTTTTAAAATAATAATAATAAAACCATTACAAAAATATATTTTTTTGTAGTGATCTTGTGTTAATCCATTAACTTTAATAATACATTGTTTACCATAAAAAGCAGCATAATTTTTGAGCTAAAAAAAAATATATCGAATTTCAGAATAATATTTTAAAAAATCTGAAACTAGTATTATAATTTAAAATAATAATAAAGAAATTATCCATTGATTAATAATTTTTTCGTTTCCTTAATATATTTATGAATGTCCTGCAGAAATGTATCATCAATTGAGACCACGTATCCACATTCAATATAATTTGTTTTTTTTAGTTGGATATTGTTTGGAAACATCTCTGACAAAAATTTCAAATAATTAATAATTTCATCTATTTTAAAGAAATTAATTGGCTATTAATAAATGATCAAACTAGGGGTTTTTTTTTAAAAAAAATTTATAAAACAATACAAACCTGCAGTCATTGTATTATCAGGGATTGTATCTTCCCAGCTCAAGTATTTGCCGCCAGAATTAATTACTGGTGATATGTTTTTGATTAATCTACCAGAATTGTTAGTATAGGATATTTTTCCTATAATTTGATCTAACGTCAAATTATTTTTATTTGATGCGATAAATGCTCTAATATAATATAAGTTATTTAAAGATTAGTACATACTCTGTGACAATTAATATTAATATTAACATAAAAAAGATATATACCCTATAAGTGGAAACAATATTTTTTTTTCGATTTGTTCTAATACGTTATATTTATATATTTTTTCTGTTGGACCTTCTATTATGTTCAAATTTTCATTAATTTTAATATTTTTCTTTTCTGTTTTTTTGATGAAATAAATAATAATATAATTATTATTTTCAATTGTCAATTTTATTAGTATGGTGCAAGTCACCTAGTCCCGCAACTTGCTGCGCCTCGTGGCCAATTTTGGGAAAAATCATCAAAACTCAGAAATTGTAAGTTATGCTCAAAAATGCAATAAAATTTTATATCATG